AGCTGTGCCGACAGTACATCGAGGCCTCCGTGGACCTGCAGAACGTGCTGGTTGTGTGTGAGAGTGCCGCCAGGCTGCAACTGGGCCAGTTAAAGGTGCGGGCCCGGGGGGCACGGCCCACCCCGCCTACTGCCGCCAGCCCCCTGTTCCCCGCTGCCAAACTCCCCCCCCCCGCCCCCCGAAGTGGCCCCCTGTGCCCCCTACTGCAGGCCGTCCCAGCCAGGCTGCTGCCTCGTCGGCCAAGGCCTGACCCTGCCTGCCTGCTCCGGCTTGTGTGTCCCAGGAGCACTGCTTGAACTTCGTGGTGAAGGAGTCCCACTTCAACCAGGTGATCATGATGAAGGAGTTCGAGCGCCTCTCTTCCCCACTGATAGTGGAGATCGTGCGGCGGAAGCAGCAGCCGCCTGCTCGCGCCCCCTCAGAGCAGCCCGTGGACATCGGTAGGGACCCAGGCCCCATCCCTGGGGGCAGCACACAGCACACAGGGATGGCATTTGTCTTGGGCGGAGACGGGAGCCACAGCAGTACCCGCCTGGCCTCCAGCATGGGGTCTGGGCGCAGGGGACCCCGAGTGCTCCGGGGCTCGGGCTCGGGCTCGGGCTCGCACAGCCAGCCAGCTCACTGGAGGGAAGACGCCCCGCCCCACAGGCATCGACCGCGGCTGTGCGCCTGAGGGCGGGCAGTCTCCTGAGCCCGGTCCTGAGACCGGCACAGGGCCCCTGTCTGGCAAGGGTGGCTGCCCTGACTGACCTCAGCTTTGAGGGCTTCCGTCGGGAGCAGCATGCTCAGGTCACAGTGACTAGTCACTGAGCTGCTCTTCTAGGCACGCCCGCCCTTGGGGGTCCTGATGAGGGGTAAGCGCGTCCGAAGACTTCAGACGTTCCTGGTGCCTCCCTTGTCCCCACCTAGCCCGAGAAGGGACAGCACTGTCTCCTTCATCCCGACTTCCCGGGCCCTGTGCTGCCTCTGGCCGTTGGCCCTGGGTGACACGGGGCGGGACACAGTGCTTGCCAGGCCCAGAGGGGGCTCAAGCACAAGGGCGGGGAGGAGGGCTCACAGATCAGACTCTGGGGGGCGGGCCTGAGTAGGGCCTCTGGCCCCGGGGGCAGGTTTGTTCAGGGCAGCAACATGGGCAGATGTGCAAGCAGCAGTGCCCGTAGGGCCCTGAGGCCGATGGCTCAGGGTCTGCTGGGGGGCGGGAGGCATCTGCTCAAGGCCCCTGCACACTACCCCCTGGCCTCCCCACCAGGCACATCTCTGATCCAGGACATGAAGGCGTACCTGGAGGGAGCAGGTGCGGAGTTCTGTGACATCACTCTGCTGCTGGATGGGCACCCGAGACCGGCCCACAAGGCCATCCTGGCCGCCCGTTCCAGGTGGGTGGGTGGGGGGGCGGTATGTGGTGGCAGGGCCGGGCAGGCCCCCGCCCTGCCTGCATTTGCTAAGAGCCAGGACTCCCCCCGCCCCTGTCTGCAGCTACTTCGAGGCCATGTTCCGGTCCTTCATGCCAGAGGATGGCCAGGTGAACATCTCCATTGGGGAGATGGTGCCCAGCAGGCAGGCCTTCGAGTCCATGCTGCGCTACATCTACTACGGTGAGGTCAACATGCCGCCCGAGGACTCTCTGCATCCTCCCCCACGCGCTCCCAGGGCCCACCTCAGGCAGCTCTGGAGACTGGCAGGCTGGTCCTGGCTTCCCTGGTGCCTGGTGCTCTTCCGGGGTTCCCTGAACGGATTGGTCTGCAGCCAGGAGGGGTGGGTGGGTTCTTGACCCTCATCACTGCCCAGACGAAGGGGTTGGTTAGCGTTGTGTGTGACAGGTGAGTAGACCGCCATGGAGGGATTCCTGATCATGTCACTTCTTGGGGGTCTGAACTGGGTGCGAGATGCCTTTCCGTGCTCTGTGAGGCCATGGTCTGTCCTGCAAACGGGCATGTGGGTGTTTTCTTGGGAGAGGCTTCCTGCGTTTTCTTTGGGTCTGGACTAGGGCCTTTGACCCCGAGTACTTCAGAGTCCGTGTAGAGAGCGAGTTGGAGCCCCAGTCCAGTCCCTTGTGCTGGGGTAGGTTTCCTTGTTCTGAGCAAGTAGAAGGGGGCTCAGGTTTCCTCCACCCCTGCTGGGCCTGGGGCTCCAGCTGCACCCTCCCAGGGGAGATGGGCAGGTGGCGGGAGGACAAGCTCCTTGGGCCGGCAGCTCCTTAACCAGCCCCCAGCTACCTGTTTGCGGCCCCCTACTATTATGGCTTCTACAACAACCGGCTGCAGGCGTATTGCAAGCAGAACCTAGAGATGAACGTGACAGTGCAGAACGTACTTCAGGTAGCTCGGTGGTGCCCACGGGCCTCCCTGAACCTGGGCGGGCGGGTGAGAGAGGGAGCAGTCCCTCAGGGAACCTGCCGTTCCAGATCCTGGAGGCGGCTGACAAGACCCAGGCGCTGGACATGAAGCGGCACTGCCTGCACATCATTGTGCACCAGTTCACCAAGGTCAGGGCCCTCCCAGCCCCGCGCTCGCCGCCCACCCCTCTTCAGGAGCCACTTCCCCTTGGCCTTGCCTTGGCCAGGTGCGGGTTGGGGTGCGTGGAAGCTGCTCATCTCCTGCGGCAGGGGGCCCTGGGGTGAGCCAAGCAGAGGGGCCACCCCCTTCCACTCAGAGTCAGCCGTGCCCTGGCTTGGTGGAGCTCTGGGGAGACCCTGAAGCCCACCCCGACCCTCCCGTGAGTCCGGTCCCATCCCGTGTGGGCCTTCTGCTTGCCTCCTGCAGGTTTCCAAGCTGCCCACGCTGCGCTCGCTGAGCCAGCAGCTGCTGCTTGACATCATAGACTCCCTGGCTTCCCACATCTCTGACAAGCAGTGTGCGGAGCTGGGCGCCGACATCTGAGGGTGCACGCGGTGCTGGCCCACTCGAGAATAACCATGCCTGCCCTGCCTACTGCAGACTACACTGGCCACGCTGAGGCCCGAGGCAGAGTGCTTGGACCTGCCGGCCAAGGGGCAGGCTGCCCAGAGCCTTCAAAGGGAAAGGGGACACGGGGCCTCTGCCCCATTTCACTGCTGAGGACACAGGTCCCACAGGGAGTGGATGGTGAAACAGGCCCCCCAGGTGGAACCGTCTCCTCAGGTGGAGGTATGGGTGGGAAGCCAGGGCCCAGCAGTGGGAAAGCCCACCATGGAGCTGGTGTGGGGCTGCCCATCCGGCAGGGACTGTGCATGGCTTGTGGATCTGGCCACTGGGTCCTAGTGCCAAGGTCCCTGTGACGAGGGGGGGGGTGGTGGTGGGGGGGCTACACAGTACCCCCTCACTTTCACCAAGGTTGCTGTAAGGGCCCCTGCTATCACCCGGAGCTTGTGGGTGGGCAACAGTAATGGGCACGTGGAATCTAACTCCAGATGAATTTTGGGGTGTGAAGGGCTCTGAGTCAGTTCCTAGCCTGAGGGGCCAGCCACTCTGGCCTGGGCCAGGCTTCTAGAGGGGTTGCAGGATCCCACCCCACTGTGTGCACATCAAGGGCCCCCAGCTCCGCCAGGGAGAAGTCAGTGAAGGTGCCCCCTGGGTCCCCATCTGTCCCTAAGTATTTGTCACAGACATGCCATTAAGACCATAGTAGTGCTAATCCACTACACACACCTCAGGCATAGTCCCTGAGCTGAGGATGGATCAGGTGGCCCAAGTGCTTGGGACCGGCCAGTCCTGTCCAGTTCTCTACCCGTGTCAGCAACTCCTGGCCCCATCTGGGGTGACCCAGTTGTGGGGGTGGAATCCAGGCTAGCCCCTCCCCTCCGAGGGGAACCCTGGAGCCCCAAGGCTGCCTTGCCCTGGCATCCTTCCCCATCCCCCAACAGAAGGCCCTGGGAGTCCACCCTAACACAGAAAGCACTGTTCTGCCTCCTTTCTGGCAACAAGAATCCCAGGGACCCTTCTACCCCAGCTACCAGGAGGCTACTTTGGGGGAAACAGTCCTTCACATCCTTCTTCCAGTTGTGCCCCCACGCAAACATGGCTCCTGCCTCTCCTCGGCCCTTGAGCCCCAGGTGCTGTGTACAGACGGATGGGGAACCCCAGTGGCAGGTGGGCACCCTTAGGCAAGGGGAGTCCATAAGGCCGCCAGTAAGCTAGGAAACGGCCCAGTGCAAGATGAGCCTCTGTGAGCCTGGAAACCCCAGTGAATGATCCGCAAACCCTGCTCTACAGTGGACCCTTGTAACCGGTCGCTTGACTTTCTCTTCTAAACATATGAATAAATGAACTTACACATCAAGGATCCTAGAAAGCCAATTTCAGAACATTGTGTGGCACTTTCCAGGACTAGGGAGAATTCAGCTATGCTCTTGGGGCTACCGTGGCTGAAGCCCAGCAGGGAGGTTACGTGTGCAGTTAAAACCGCCCCACACCCTGAGCTGTTTGCCACCATCACAGATGCAGGGAAGCCTACATTCCAGTCAACTTGAAGAACAACGGGCACTCAGGTTGAGGCCAGGATTGCTGCCCCCAAGGCTGCCTCCAAGCTTCCCCACCTCTTCCCAGACCTCTGGGAACTAGAAGTGTCATTGTTGGGCCTTTACTACTTGCCAAGCATACAGCGCCAGGTCAGAAATTGCTGTCTTTGTCCGTTTTTCAGATAAGCCAGGCCCAGGGGCAAGGGGGTAGCTGGTCTGCAGGCTGGGGTTGAAGTGCTGTACCGTACTGACTTCTGGGCAGACCGGGCCAAGACTGGGCCAGTGGATGGAAGCCATGCAGGTGTCCTTGTAAATGGAGTCTAGCCTGGGTTTCATGAGTGTTTTCAAAAAGACGAGACTGCGGAAGTCTGGGCTGTTTCAGGTACCAAGGAGAAGGTTCCTGGTGCTGCCCCTGGCCTCTGCTCACACCATCCTGTCCCTCAGAAAACCCTGTGGGGCCAGGAGTTGCATGAGGAGGGGTGGGCAAGAGCTGCACTTCTTGCTCTCCACAGCTGAGGGCTCAGACTCCAGGGAAGGGGCCCCAGCTGCAGCTGAGCCAGATAGCAGGGCCTCCTAGAATCCATTTTATTATGGCATCTGGCAGGTCTGGTGGACACAGCTCAGATTGGGTCCCTTTCCAGGCGGATTCCAAGGGAGGAAGAGGCCGACACCCCAACAGGCAGCCCTGGGGCCAGCGGCCCCTCCCTCACGCCATGCTGCTGCTCAGCTGCATGGCAAAGTCCTGCACGTGCTCCTTCAGAGTCTGGCGGGCATCCGCCTGTGCCCGCTTCTCCCGGGCACGCTCCTGCTGCAGCTTGCTCAGCCGTAGCCGCAGGCGCTGCTCTCGCCGCTTGCAGGCCTGCAGCTGGCGCTGGGCCTTGTCCAGGGCATCGAGTGCGGCCTCAGCCCGCCGCTTCCAGAGCAGGGCACTGCCCACTTGGTAGCTGTGCTCATTCTGGATGTAGGCACCGGCCGGGGGGGGCAGCCGCAGCATGTAGGCTGAGGGTGAGACAGGCCGTGGTTCGAGGGGGGACGGCTGTCTGTCGGGCTCCCGCTCTGGCGAGGGCTGGGTGCTGCAGCCTGCTTCATCTGCCTGGGCACCCAGGGGCCCCAGGAGGTCTGCGAAGGGGCTGCTGAGGCCAGCCTCCAGCCTCCCAGTGGGGGAGGCAGGCAAAGCAGCAGGGGCTGAGGCCTCTTCCACAGGAAAGCAGGTGACATCAGCAGGTGGAGGTGGAGAAAATGGAGTCGTGGGCCCTCGGCTCTCAGAGCAGCTGAGAGAAGAGAGAGAGAGAGAAAGAGACTAATAGGCCAGGCCAAGGCCTTGCCAGACCCCACTTCACCAGCCCACCGAGCCCACTCTACTGGTTCAGAACCCTGTCCAGCATGACTGCTGGCAGACACCCTAAATAAACCCCAGTCTCTCAGACTTGGGGTGGGAGCAAGGCACCCTCTACCCACAGCACACATACCGCTTCCTGCATCGCCGGAGCCGGCTGACGTCAGGGGGGCCAGGTGGGTAACTGTGCCCCTTGGTCTTGGTTGTCCGGCGTAACTTGGAGAAAGACTCAAATATCGTGGGAACTGCCCCCTCCTTCAGCCTGTGATACCCACTGTGGGGGAAAGCAGCCTGGATGAGATGGAGAACACATACTGCCATCCAGGGCAACCTGCAGCGCACAGAGCTAGCATGCCCCCAGCACCCTGGATCAGGCTCTCCCATGCTAACATTGCGGGAGGTGGGTAGACATGTTGCAATCAATTTAGGGAATACCAAGTTAGGTAGAGTTACACCCATTCTCTTCCCTGCAGGACTCCTCAAAGTGAAGGTGTAGAAAGGCTACACAGGAACTAGGCTGACCAGCCAAAAAGAAAAATTTCATTGTGGACTTGCTGGAAGGACTTGGGTTCTAAGCAACAGCCTCTGAAAAAGCTAATGTTTTTCTCCCTTGTCACTGGCCCAGTTATCCTGAAGGGATGGGTCTTCCTGTCACTGAGGTACAAAGCTGGGAAGAGGCAGCTGCGCTGGGAACCAGGTCTGTCTTGTCCCCCAGCCAGTGACTGCAGGACCCTCCTCCTCTGGCCCTACAGCTGCCCCAATCGGCCAGCTACTCTGATGCTTTAAACCCTGCCCCAGCGATGGTCGCCAAGGGAGCTCACCTGATTCCCACCAGCTCAAAGCAGTTTTCCTCGAAGTGTTTGGAGCAGAAGTAGATGTACTCGGAAGCCGGGTCCCACAGGCCCTGGCCGCTGGGGTCCAGCCGCTGGCAGTTGGCCAGCCACAAGCCTCGCCTCGGGTTGTCCTTCTTGGGAAGTCTGCGGAGCCACAAACCAGTGAGCACCAGGGTATCTGGAGCCCTGGGCTCCAGCTGCCCAAGCTCTCCAGGAGGCAAGGGCTGGTCCTGCACATGCCGCCACCAGACCTCCCTTCAGTTCTCTGGGTAAACACCGTCCTCCCAAGCCCAGATGATGAAACTGAGGCCTCAGGGAGAGCAACTTCCTTAGTATCACCTAGTAGGTTAAGAGTCACAGAAAAGAAGGCCCCAGGCTCGTGGATCTCCCGTGCTTCCTCTCCCAACTAGACTCAGTCGCACCGGCACCGCTCCCTTCACCCTTTCCCACCTGCAAGTACAAGCCTCGCGCCAAACAGAGGAAGGCGCAAGCGCAATCGTGGCTCCACGGGAGGGGGTGGGGGGGAAACGGGCGCATGCGCCCGTGAACCTTCGCGCGCCAGCACGCACGCGCGCTGACCTGTGGAAGGAGATGCCGCGGTTGCGCGTCTCGCGCGTGTCCCGTGTGCAGCAGCCGGCGGCGGAGCAATGACGCGGCATCTGGGGAAGAGGCGGGAGCTTGTTCGTGGGCGGCTGTCCAGGCCCGCAGGGGCCTTGCGCCCCCAGCCGCCGCTCCGCTCCAGGCGGCCCTGGCCTGCCGGATCTCCCCCGGCCCGATCTCGCCCGAGCCCCGTCCCAGCCCGTTCTCCTGACTCCCGTCAGCGGCACTCACGATCTCGCCATTGCTGCGCCGCCGAAGTCTCGCGAGGAGTGGCGCCTGGTGGAAGTTGGTACCATAGAGACTCGGAAGAGCGAGGCGCTGGCCGGAGGGGCGGGGCGGGGCGGGCCCCGGAAGCGGCGGGAGCGTAAGGTCGCCGCTGGGTCTGCGCTGCGCGGTCCCAGCCTCTTTGAACGCCAGCGCCGTCGCACACGGAGGTCCCTCTTTGTCTTTCGGGGTAACTCCTGGCACCCGAGGAGCGGCCTCCCTTGGCGGCGCAGAGTCCCAGCCTACGGGTCTTGCGGCGCGGCAGCGGGAAACCGGCAGGGTTCTGGGACCCATGCTGGCTGGCGGGAAAGACTAGACTGCAAGAAAGGAAACTCCAGCGAGAACAAAAAGGGGCCAGGATGCGTGATCAAAAGAACCTGACAAAGTCCAGTGGTCAGCTTACTCTGGGAGAGGTGCCTATAAATTGGATGGGTGGGCACAGATCACATTTTGGGAAAATGTAATGGGCAGAAGGCTCTGTTGTAGTTCCTTCTGGCAGGGAGGCGGCCGAGTTACGGATAAAAACGGGCCTAGGGGCGCCTGGGTGGCTCAGTCGGTTGAGCGTTCTGCTCTTGGTTTTGGCTTAGGTCATGACCTCAGTCAGGGTCCTGAGATGGAGCTCCACCTCGGGCTATGCGGGCTCTGCGCTCAGCGCAGCTGACTTGGGATTCTCCCTCCCACTTCCTCTGCCCCTCCTGCTTGTGATAAATTTTTCTCTAAAATAAAGATGAATAAATCTTTTTTAAAAAACCAAAGAGGGGCGCCTGTGTGGCTCAGTTAAGCGTTTGCCTTTGCCTCAGGTCATGATCTCAGGGTCCTGGGTTGCCCCAGTTTGGGCTCCCTGCTCAGTAGGGAGCCTGCTTCTCCCTCTCCCTCCCACTCGTCCTCACTCCCTCGCTCTCTCTCAAATAGATAAATAATAATAATAATAAAAAATTAAACCGGGGCGCCTGAGTGGCTCAGTTGCTTAGGCAACTGCCTTCGGCTCAGGTCATGATCCTGGAATCCTGGGATCGAGTCCCGCATCGGGCTCCCTGCTCACCGGGAGTCCGCTTCTCCCTTTCCCTCTCTCCCCTCTTACGTGCTCTCTCTCTCAAATAAATAAATAAAAATCTTAAAAAATTTTAAACCAAAAAAACCCAAAAACAAAGGCCTTGCTAGAAACAGCCTCAGTAAAGGAGTTCGCACTAGGGCAGGGCTGCCTCCCTGGGCCCTCCCACAAGACTGGGTGAAAGTTGCCACTCCACATTTAGAAAAATAAACCAGATTACTATTCCATTTTCCAAAGGAACATCAAGAATAAAAAAATTTAAGAATAGCCAAAGCATTTTTCCTAATTCCCTCAGCCATGCCTTTTGAAGCCTTCTTTCTAGGGGTAAAGTGGTAACTAAACATAGGCAAACATGCTTGGCTTTTTCCGAGAAGAAACATGTATTTCCCCCTGGAAGTGCACTTGGAAAAGGCAGGTGTCTGGATCGGGAATCCTGTCAAGGTGCAGCACAAGGGACACGATGGTTCAATACAGAAACTTTAATAGGTAAACATATCTTGTAATGTTATAGTGGGGGCAATACAAAGGGATGGTTGCCAGATGCACTCCCATTCAGTATTCTTCCCCTTCTTCGGCCTCTGCTTCCACGGAATCCACACCCACCTCTTCATAATCTTTCTCCAGAGCTGCCAGGTCCTCCCGGGCCTCAGAGAACTCCCCTTCCTCCATGCCTTCCCCCACGTACCAGTGCACAAAGGCCCTCTTTGCGTACATGAGGTCAAACTTATGGTCCAGGCGGGCCCAGGCCTCGGCAATGGCGGTAGTGTTGCTCAGCATGCACACAGCCCGCTGCACCTTGGCCAGGTCACCCCCGGGGACGACGGTGGGGGGCTG